TGTATGTTCGTGTGTGTGAGTGCATATGTGTGTGTTCATGCGTGTTACTGTGAGGACCACATGTAAAGATGTTGTTTGATCTTAGTCATTTTTTTTTTTCAAGCTTCCATTGTGTTGTCTTTTTATAAGGGTAGTGTTAGCTAGGGGCGCTAGTGCATTGATCTTTAAAGCCACAGGTGGCTGGAGAGATGGTGCGGTGGCTTGGGGAATTTGCTGCTCTTGCAGAGGACTCAGGTTCAATTTCCAGCCCCGTACGGTGGCTGCAACCACATGTAACTCTAGTCCCAGGTGCCCGTCCTAAGCATTCTGTGATGCTGCATAGTTCCCCACAGGCTTGCTTTGTCCGTTACTTTATTTCTGTGGTATGGGTACATCTGTGTCTGTGTACCATGCATGCGCACTGCCCTCAGAGGCCAGGGTGTGGAATTCTTGCTCCAAACATAACCTTCTGGGCTTTGAAAATAAAACAGAAAATGCTGCTCAAGTCACTGCTGTCCCACTGAGCTTTGACAGTTTCTGAGAAGCTAAGCTGAGGGTGAGCAGGGCAGATGAGCCATCCCCAGTCGGAAGTTCTTACACAGTGGAGGTAGGCAGAAAGCCCAGGGGTTCAACCCTGCATGCCAGCGGCTTTTAGTATCATGCTAGTCTATCTTTGGATTTGATTGTATTAAAACAGTGCTTCTTCACCTATGGGCCGGGACCCCTGTGGGGGCCTAACTTCACTTCCATGGGAGTTGCTTGAGACCATTGGGAAACACAGATATTTATAGTATGATTCGTAAAGTAGCAAAGTTACAGTCATGAAGTAGCAGCAGAAATAATTTTATGGTTGGGGTTACCACAGCATTCGGAACTGTATTAAACGGTGGCAGCGTTAGGACGGTTGAGAACCTCTGTGTTAGAATGTTTGACTTTGAAAGTTGCCTTTTGTGGTTAGGTTGATGGCTCAGTGGGTGACCTGCAAGTATGAGGGCCTGGGTTTGGATCCCCAGAACTCACATGAAGATGGGTGGCATTGTGCACATCTGCTGTCTTGACAGTCATGAGATGAGATGGGAAGCAGAGGACAAGTGGGATTCCCGGGAGACGATGGCCAGCTCGCCCGGCCATACGGCCATGGCAAGGGACTGTATCTCAAGCAAAGGAGAAGACAAGGGCCAACACTCATGGTTGTCCCCTGACCTTAACATTCACACTGTAGTACATGCATGGACACACACACACACACACACACAGAGTGAGAGAGAGAGACAGAGAGACAGAGAGACAGAGAGAGACAGAGAGAGAGACTACCTATCTCGTGAGTTCAAGGCCAATGTGAAAGCCTGTCTCAAATCCCAAGGTGAACAGCACCCTGAGGAATGACACCTGTTATCAATTCTCTTCATTCTTAATTCCTTATGTGAAATAGCTGGGAAACCAGCATGGAACTGATCCAGACCCCTGAATGTGGGTGTCAGTGAGGATTCCTCAGAAATTTATGGGGCCCCTTGTAGTGGATCAGTACTTATTCCTAGCATAGGTGTGGACTTTGGGAGCCCATTTCACACAGAGGGACACTCCCTGAGCCTAGACACACGGGGGTGGTCCTAGGCCCCATCCCAAAGGATACGATAGACTCTGAAGACCCCCTATGGAAGGCCTCACCTCCCTGGGGAGCAGAAAGGATATGTGATAGGTAGGGGGAAGGAGAGGAGGGGAGGCAGAGGGAACTGGGATTGACATATAAAATAATCCTGTTTCTAATTTAAATAAAAAAATGGAGAGAAAAAAAAGAAAGATGTCTGGGCGCATCTGCCTCGCCAATATGCAACTTTAGTCTTCAATAAATGGTATTGTATATATGCCAGAGAACTGTTTTAAAATGAATTTCTCTGTTATATATCAGCAAATGCATACTTTATATGGGGTGGGGGTGGGACCCTGAGTGAGAAAACTTAAGAATGTCTAGGTAAATGCACCAGAGACTCAGCTGCCCCAGCGAAGGGCACAGACTTCAGTTCACATTGATTGCGCTTTTGACTTTGCAAGGAAGACCTGCTGTCCTCACTCAGAGACCAAGCCTGTATCTGGACCTGGACCACTAACTCACGAGCTAATGTGTAATTTATTAAGTAACCAGCTGGTACAGTCACCACCTGAAGCTCCAGGCATCGGAAGCTGTGTGTCGCCTGCCCCTTGCTGCCTATGGTCTAGCAGGGGAGATGGGCTGAGCTCAGAGCTGCTAGGGCTTAGCCTGGGCTTGGTGATAGAAAGGCAGAGCAGCGCCGATGGAGTCCCTGGTGGTCCCCCCTCCCCCGCTGCATAGGGCCCCAACTGCTGCCTCCAGTCAAACAAATGCACTCTTGATGCAACACTGGCAAAAACTGTTGGGGGAAAGGCGTCAGGGATGTAGAAAGTGAGAGAGAGGATGTGTTGGTTCCCTTTTACAGTTGTTCCCGTAAGCTTGTATTAAAAGCCCTTTCAACACCAGTGAGCTTCAGAGCGTAGCCGGGGAAACTTTGTTCTTACTGCGTTGCCTTTCATCCAACTCACTCAGAAGTCTCGGAGACGTTACCTCACCCTCCTCTCACTGCTCCTCGGGCAGAGGTGAGGAGCATATCTTGTCCCCAGTTTACAGATGGAGAGACTGAGGCATGGGGTGGCAGGAGGACCAGGGGCCAGGCTTTTGTGAGACTTTAAATCTCTCTCTCTCTCTCTCTCTCTCTCTCTCTCTCTCTCTGTTTCTCACCCCACATCTTCCCCTTCCTTCTCCTCCTCCTCTTTTCTTCTTTCTGCAACAAATGAATCCCACAGACTGGGGGTCCCAGACTGAAAAAAAGGACGTGTGATGGTAATTTCTGTAGCCCTGATCAGTGGAATAAAGTAACTATTTAAAATTATATTGTGTAATTATGTTCTGTTGGTTTAGAAATACTCTCTCTATTTTTTGTCTGGAAGTAACCAGAAAAAACAACCAAATTTCATATTCTAGAAGCTTATAGCTTTTTGTTGTTGACATTTATTTTTAAGATGCAGGGTCTCACTATGTGGACCTGGCTGGCATGGAGATGGCTATGTTGAAAAATTTCAAATAATACTGTGTGTCACCTGGGGCCTAATTTTAGTGCCAAAGGAAATGGTTAATGATTATAAAATAGTGTGACCACTGAAGGAGGGTTATGGACACTCCCACAGAATGCCAAGTGGAAACCCAGGTTTCTCATGAGAACAGAACAAGCTCCCAACACACCACCACTGTGGTTCACAGGGAGGGTAAAGGAGACAGAATTTACCCGCTTACTTTATAGAAATAACAGTCCTGTGTGTAGACTCAGTGTGCATCAGACCAGAACCCAGAATGTTTGAATGTCTTTGTTACCATGGGAAGAGGATACATAGACAGAATTACAAAGTTGGGTAAATTTTGTTTAGAAATCCCACCCTGAAATTTGCATTCCTGGCCATGTTTACATTGCACTGGTGAGACACACTGGGATTCAGTTATAGACTCTTGGGGTGGTGTCAACCTCTATAGATACCTTGGCAGCATACTCCAGTTACCATAATTATGGTATAGGGCAGAGTCGGAGACAGGAAGACCTATTCCTTGGTCAGCTTACATAGCAGATATGGTGAGCCACAAGCTCAGTGAGATGCCGTCTCAAAAACTAAAGTAGAGAGTGATGAAGGGAGACGGCTGATGCTGACCTACACGTGCATACACATGTACACACAAGTGCACATGCCTCTGCATGCACAATTCACAGACCCACATAAACACATATGTACACAGCACCACACACACACACACACACACACACACACACACACACACAGATCAACATGAATAAAACAGTCTCTCCAGAAATATCAGAAGCATGTACTTCAGGATGTCTGAACTTTGGCGTCTGGCACACCTTTACAATCCTGACTACTGCAAGGCCTGTTTCAACTGCTTTCCTAGCTGTGCTGCAGAAGCTACAGAACTTAGAGAAACAGGAAACAAATTAGAAGCAAACAAATTGGGAAGCTGTGTCTGCAAAAACCTGGCCACCGTCTGTGACATCTGCACCTGCCTGTGCGTGTACACTGTACACACATCTACACACAGAGAGAACTATTTTTTATTGTGTACAAAATTTCCCTTCATGTATTGGTAGTTCCCTCTCTGGCGGCAGCAAGCCCCACTGTGGCAGAATCAGGACGCTGGCTGCATAAAGGCGGGCATGGGGAGAAGACTGAAGCACTAGTGCAGATGTTCCCCTGTGCACATACACTTCCAACACAGACAGGGCCAAATGGAAACTGTAGTTCCAAATATGGACAATGGCAGGCACTGAGTGCACTTCTCGGATGCTTTGAAAAATATGCTCTCATTCTCATGCCCTCGTTTAAACATTGCTATAGAACCATTCTGATTGGGAAATGGGGTTCAAGATAGTATCTTGTGAATGTATGGAAAGTTTGGGACTAATTTATTTTATTCCTCACCTACTTTGTTAGAACACACACACACACACACACACACACACACACACACACACACACACCACATCCTTATAAAAGCCTGGCTTCCTGGCGCAAACCTGCATTTCCAGCTACTCAGGAGGCTGAGACAGGGAGAAGGCAAATGAGCTCAAGGCCAGCTAGGACAGCTCAGCAAGACCTAATCCAGAAGAAACAGCAACCAAAGGATTGGGGGTACAGCTCAGGGGCAGAGCATTTGGCCAGCAGGAGCAGGGCTCTGTGTTCAATTCTCAGTACATCTAAGACGAAACAAAACTGGCTTTCCTTCTCCTCTGATCCAAGTCTTTGAAATATTAAAGTGGATCAAATCTGGCCTCAGCTGTAAGCTTGGATTTGACGCCAACCAGATTGGAATGAACACAGTTTTGGGGGTCACTTTTCTTCCCCAAATCCATGCATTTTCTTGCTGTGGTCTTATTCTCTTCCTCTTTGACTTTAGTAAACTGGACAGAGTGAGTGACAATCATGTCTCCCGTTGTGGGAATCTGCAGGGCTGAAGACACTGCTGGACTGGACACATGGGGAGCCTCCATACAACAACTGCAAAGTTCTGCTGGTGTGTAAGAAACCCAGAGGAAGAAAACACTTAGAGGCATGTAGACGGCAGATGAACCCCTTTCCATGTTGGTGACCAAGGCCAAAGGCAATTTTGAAATCCGCTTCACCATGACAATACTTTCTTTTTATCTCCAACAAATTTTGACAAGTATAACTGAAAGAAGCATCCAGAAATGCAGCAAGAGAGACCTGGCATAGACTGTTCTCCTGCTTAGCCATCAGCATCTCATCAGCAGAAAGGTGAGACATCCAGCCCTATAAACACAGGATAATCACGGAGTCGTCTCGGTTCTCCCACGTGGCACCAATTAAACTCATTTCAAAAGCAGGCTGGGAAATGTGGTGGCTAGTTTTTACACATATTTTAAATTTAGAAACTTATTTGTGTGTGTGTGCTCACACTTGAGTGTGAGTGTGTGTGTGTGTGTGTGTGTGTGTGTGTGTGTGTGCTCCAGCTTGGGTGTGTGTGGTCCTGGTTTTGTGTGCTTGTACTTGTATGTGTGCATGAACATATATGTTATCACACAAAAGTAGAGGTCAAGAAAAGGTTTCAGGAGGAGTCGGTTCTCTCCTTCCACTGTGGGCCTCAGAATTGAATTCACGTCTTCTGGCTTGGGCAGCAAGTGTGCTCACTAGCTGAAAACCATCTTGCTGGTCCACACAGTTTTCAGGACCCACAGAAACTATTTAAACTCCCAAGTGCCTTAATCCCACCCACCTGAAGAGCCTCCTCCCCAGAGGACAATGCTGCATTCTGTCTTCCTTGCCCATCGCAGTGGTGACTCTGACATGGTCAGCAGGAGCTGCAATCGCACACCCAACCCCAGGTGTCTACAAGACAGACCCAAGCCCTCCATCAGTAGACAGGAGAACAGGTGCCATCGAATGACTCAATACAGGGTCAATACAGTGAGTTTCAACCAATGCATTCCACGTGTGCACTACCTGAAAACTGCTTTCTCACAAACCACCTGCAGCCCAAGACTGACATTTTCATACTCCACCCCAGGGTTGTAGAAAACATATCAAGACCTTTTGCACATTCCCCCAAATAGACACTCGCTCTTTTCCCTTCGGGGTGAGGGTTGGTAGGTTTTTGTGGGATGGGGTGGCGCTGGGGTGGAAAGAGAAGGTCCTTTGTCTAGAACTGCTAATTACTGACTTTTTTTTTTAACTAAAGAAACAATTCCTTTCAAACATTGTGCCTCGCCTTGAGTTCTATCCACTGGGGATGTGGTTGATCGATGATGTAATCCTATCGTCATTTAAAGAGAGCAATTCTTTTACTCTCACAAAGGGTTTGCTGAAAATGGAAAAGAAGCCTTCAGTCATTTATTTTAATCTCTCAAGATTGTTTATTGTATGTACAAGTCAGGACACTTCACATTTGAAAAATCACATTCCAAGAGAAAAGTTGATCAAACACATACACACACACACACATATACACACACACACCAAAAAAAAAAAAAACACTGTATTTTTGAAGAGTTAGGGCTTTTGCAAGATAGATACATTATGGACAGTGTTTAAAACATTCTTTGCATTTTATCAAGTGGCATTTGTGAAGGGTACGTGGGTCACTGGGTGTAATGAGGAGACTTGACTTGCCTTTGTCACCATTGAGAAGAAATCAGTAAATTTTTACAACCCAAATCTTTCCCAGCAGCCTTGTGAGGACCTTCCTTTCCCTGGCTTCCTCCTCCCCAGGCCTGGCTGTGTGGCTCTTTGACAGTTAACTGTGTACAAAATTACGACTGGCATTCCTACTTCATTTGTTCTCTCCTTCATGGTGTCACGAGTCACCTTCCCATGCTTGACAGTAACTCTAGGACCGCCTTCCCTTTGAGTTTTACAAATGTCCCTACTTGTTGCCTGTTAGCACCTTCAACAAATTTGAATGTGAAGGATATAAGTACCCCAATGCTGTGGGTGACCCTTCCTTAGAAGTGTCAGTAACGGCCGAGAATCTGCCCAACCTTATTTTTCCAATCTATGAATTTTCTATTTAGAGGCAAATCTAAATGATGCCTAAGACTCAGTTTACCCAAATGTTAGTTGACAGCTATGAGGTGTGCATTGTTTTTCATGGGACTTGTTGAGGATCTTTTCCTAGAAAGAACATGCTGCCTTAGAGGCACAGTGTCTTTAGTATCCCACAATTCAGGTCCATTTTCAGAAACTTACACCATCTACATCTCCAGTTGTCTTGGTTCACTGGTCCCCACTAGGCCTTCTAGCAAAGACCCATTCCTCAGTAGTTGAGGCTTTGTGCTTGGGAAACTTGATTCCATTTACCCCTGTGAGATGGAAACACCAAGCAGTGATTCCACCATTAATGAACAGTGGCAAAATGTCCTAAGTCTCATCTTCTAGTTTCCAAGTCTGAGGCTCTAACGATCAAAACTGATGGGAATATCTTACAAGGGAAACATCCAAGTAGCATGGAGTCAAAATAATCCAGCGACTATAGGAAAAACAATAAAACAAAAAGAATAAATCAACTTTAAAAACCTTAAATGAAGACAAGCTTATCTGTGATTACAGATGTGATCAAGCCATGTCAATGAATCCCATCTATACAAGATCAGCCCTGGGAGTCTCAGATGAGCTTCTCATCAATACACAATATTCCAGGAATAAAATTCAACACATTCCTAAAGACGAATTGAAGGTGGTTTGGAAATGAATGTGCCTGAGATGTTAATATTATTTTTAGAATGCAGACTATGGCTTCTCAAGCTAAAATCACTTTATTACATTCGCTGTGTTGAGACTGGTACTTCATGCCCTCCTTCCACAGCTTGTAATTGCAGTGGGTGTTTGTTGGGTTATCAGTCATGTGAGATATTGTGCAATGATGCCTTTTGCCCTCCTTGTTCCTGAATTTTGTCCATTCTAGGTGCTTCAAGACTTGATTCAGTCTAAGAAATACTGAGATTAGAGCTCTGGAAGATCTCCAGGTCCTTGGATGATCCCCTGACCTCATGCAAAGACAGTCTATAGCTGAAGATCAGGGCATCTGCCCCCCCATCCACATCATATGACCCTCAGGCGGTCTCCTGAGAAAACATGTGGTAGAGTTCTCCTTGACAATACTTAGTTTGGAAATCTTTCATGAGTATTCACGGGATTGTTAACACTTCATATTGTCAAAGTTTGCACCTGATTTTGATGAAAATACTCTTGACCATCCAGAAATATTCTCTTCCATGTGAAAAGCTATCAAATAGTTGCCAGGCTCATTCCAAACTTGACAACTTTAACGCAGACCCCCAAAAATGAGAAGATAAAGGAGAAACAGGAAATGATTGACAATAAGTGAATTCATTTCTTATCTTTGAAGTTATCAACTTGAGCTGAGTGGAAAAATTCTGTTTAAATTTAGGTGCCAGGCATATATGCATTCGATTACACAGCTATCCATCCCATAATATTAGGGATGGGGAATGATACAATCATTGCCTCAAGCAAAGTCTAACATTTGAGTTTCATGGAACCAACTTCTGATTTAGTCCTTTGTGGGTTATGTTTATCTTCCATGACCTTCAGATGACCTTATGTATACTGCTTGGATAGATAGAGTGGTGTCGGGGCTGGGGGTGATCTCCAAGTAAGTGACTCTGAGAAGGTCTGTCAAGAGATGTGCCATTAGACCTGCTCATGGTTTTTTATTATTTCTGATATTCCTAGTGTCTAATATTTTCATTTTATAAAAAAAGAAATGGAAAAAAAAACGATAGCGTCCAAAGAGGAAGGGTGGAAGAAAAAATGTAAAATAAATTCAACTACCACCCATGCTGGACAGTATGTCTACTGCAAGAGAAAGCTCACTCGGCATATACTGCTGGATTTCATTCCTATGGATTTTTTGAAAGGACAAAAGTGTTGAGATGCAGAAGTGATTGGTGGTAGCTGTGGAACAAGAATGGTGGGATGCAGATTTAAGAAGGAAACATGAAGGGTCTCCTCATGGTGATGGATAGTGAGATAGTTGTGCTGCTGATTACACAAATCTATGCTCTAGGTCATGTCCATTTGCACACACAGAAACAGATGGACACATGACAATCACAGACATAGATACGTGTGTGTGTGTTTGTGTGTGTGTGTGAAAGAGATAAAGGAAGAGAGAGAGAGAGAGAGAGAGAGAGAGAGAGAGAGAGAGAGAGAGAGAAACAGGAGCTGAAGTCTACTTGAACACCTGATGACCTAAGGTGCTGTCATGAGGGGGAAGCTGGGTGAAGGGTACATAGGACATGTTATTTTTGTTACAGTAATCACAATTAAGAAAACATTTCTAAGCACATGTGTGTGCACAGGTATGCTCTTATGTGGTCAAAGAACCCTCAGTGGGCATTCCTCTAACACTGCCTTAGTTTTTGAGGTTGGTTCTCACACTGGCTCACAAATAGGGCGGCTAGCGTGTGAGCCTGGGAACCTGCCTTTCTCCACCAACTCCAGGACTGGGGTTGTAAGTACCTACTACACCTCCTGCTCCCCCTTTTTAATGTGGGTTATGAGACTTGAATTCAGATTCTCTTGCTTGCTAGCTCCACAGTCCCACAAAAAGTTTTGTAAACCTCCACATACCCCAGACAACCTTGGTCACCTCATATTCCCTGTGTATAATCACAATGGAAATAAAAGCAGAGATACTTTTTTTTATAAAAAGAAAGTTGGCGAACACCAATGTCACAGAGGGGCATGAGTCACAGACAAACCATCAGACAGTTTTCCTTACTTAACTTCCCATAAAAGAGAATACAATGGCTCCTTGTTTAACTGCTCTGAACTTGAAAGTGAAGCTGTAGGCTTTTGAAATCTAAGCCTTTTGTAAATTGAAATCCCATGAAACACTTATCCTACCGGCAGCTTTCGGAGAGCAATGTGATTGGTAAAAAAGATTATTTTTTTGGAAATACTAATATTAACTATAATTAGTTTTCTGGATTCCATCTTATAATAGTCATTTATAGAGATACATAGAGACAGACAGACAGACAGACAGACAGACAGACAGACAGACAGACAGACAGACAGAAAAAGAGATAATTTCAGTCTGAGTGATGGATTCCAGGCTATTATCAGAATTTAGGAACTGCAGAGTCAGGGGACCATGCCCTGAGATGTTAAAGGAAAGCCTTCCTGAAAGAGTGAAAGAGGTGACTGACGTAATTGGGGCCAATTACCTACTGAAGACAGCTAGAGACATAGATGAGATACATGGCCATATATCGCCAGTGTCACCCTCACCACCATGGCATCACCAACTTACTGAAGGCATCGTGAGCTCTCAGTGCAGAGAGGAGTTACACAGTTGATGGC